TGCATTTTAGAATCTCCTGGAGAGTTTTAAAACTACCAGTTCTTGGGTCACACCCTCAACCAAAAAAAAAAAAACAACCCAGAAATTCTGGAGGTGGGACCTGGCATCAGGTTTGAAGACCTCTCCAGATGATTCTAATATGCAGCCATCAGCATTAAAAACTGCTGTCTGGAGTAAAAACTCACCATCAGCCAATCTGGGCACTTAATAAATGCCAATACCCAGAGTCACAAACTCCAGAACTCTTTCCAGCTTGTAAAAGTACAACTCTATGCCCATTAAACACTATCTCCTCCTTCCCTTTCCCCCAGCCCCCAGCAACCACCATTCTATTTTCTGTCTCCATGAATGGAACCACTCTCAGTACCTTACAGAAGTGGAATCACACAGTAATTGTCTTTTTGTGACTGGCTTATTTCACTTAGCATGATGTCCTTAAGGTCATCCATGTTGTAGCCTGTATCAGGATTTCTTTCTTTTTAAGGCTGAATCATATGTTGTCCATATATTCCACACTGTTGACCCCTTCATACATCAACGGACACTTAGGTTACTTCTACCTTTTGGCTGTTGTGAATAAATGCAGCTATGAACAGGGGTGTAGAGATATCTCTTCAAGACTCTGCTTTCAATTCATTTGGGTCTATACCCAGAAGTAGAATTGCTAGGTCATAATGTATTGCTATTTTTAATTTTTTGAGGAAACGCCATACTATTTTCCATAGTGGCTATACCATAAAGAGTTTTTAACAATAATAGCCAATACTTCCATGATACTGTTAAGTGAAAAAAGGAAGCTCTAACTTATATATATGATAAAGCCGCAACAATGTTAAAAAAAAAGGCACAGGAGAAAAGATGAAGTGAGTATATACAGAAAACTGTGAACTAACAAGTGACTTCCACTGGATGTTGGTAAGAGCAGACTGACATTCTCTTCTTTTCCAAATTTGATACTTGCCTAACTTTCTGTGATAGGCATACACTACACTGACGACTGAGAAAAAAAAGTGAAAAAAAATTTAGTAGGGCACATTTTTCTTCCTGGTCATCGCATCATCCGTTGCACTTAGCCTGATGGGTTCACTGAGTTCACCGCCTTTATCTGAAGGAAAACACACACACGCACTTCTTCCTTTTATAACCAAATTGATTTCTGAAAAATTTTAAGCCCAATATAATAATAATTCCAACTCTCGCTCAAAATAATAAGTCTTTTATCCTCTTAGGGCTCCTTGACAGGGCTTTCAAAAAGTCCTTCCCGTTTAGGCAGGGCCTGTGGTCCAGCTGGGGCAGCAGAGCTGGAACCGGCCGTCAGCCGGGGAGCCAGGGCGCTGCCGAGTGCCCTCGTGGGGTGCCTGAGGCCAACCTCTCCACGCCCGCCACCCGCCTCATGTGCGCTCCGCCTGGGGCCTGGGTCGGCTTCGTTTTCCTTCAGTAGCTGCTGAACTGTCCTCACACCGTGAGAGAAGACACTGACCTGGACTGAGGAGGGAGGGATGGAGGCAAAAGGGGAAGGAAGGAACGTGAAGGATTAACGAGCTGATTTCCATAAAGGCTTTGACATCTTGGAATGAAAAGCGGCCTGTAAGAGCAGAAGCCCAGGCCTCTACTCAGGCCATGTTGCCAGCTGGCCGTTCATCACCAAAAATTCCCCAACAGTTCCATGGCTATTGCTTAACCACCTCATATAAATCCCAATTAATCTTGCAAAGTCAAAACATAAATATATGACAAAAGTCTTTATTTTATGTGGCCTCAATTTCAGGGTCAAAATTTACAAAACCTAATTGGTTATCTAGTGGCTCCAATGAACATTTTTTTTTTTTAAACCTTCTTTGGGAATAAAAAGACAAATAAATGACACTCTCACTAATGTGTATGTACTTATTGGACTGAATGAACTCAGGCTAATGATCAAATAAATTGTAGAAGAAAAAAATGTGTTGGTGCTAAAATTTAAACTACCTTTTTTTTTTTTGGCAGTAACATTAATGTTTCATAGCTTATACTGAAAAGATACAGAAAATCCTTAGTAGGCACAAAGGAACATTTATTTGTCTTTCATATGTAAATTGCTAGGGACATAAAAGAGCCTCTTGAGCAGTGGAACTGGGAATACTCCACATTGCAATGTCTTTCATGGGAAAGGCAGGTGATAATGTGAACACAGCGGTCGACTTCGAGAAGGGCCCATTAGGACCCAGAACGGGCTCACGTGAGCATGGAGGTATTAGTGCAGACATTCACCTCCCAGGGCAACAACCTCAAAGGACCTCAGGGACCAGGCAGGCATGTCTCACAGGACAGGCTGAAGCTTCATCATTTATATTCAGTGCTTTCCTTTCCTATTCAGGAACCTCAAGGTTATCATGTCAATGATGTGGATAATAGAGAAAAACTAATATGTGGCTTTGGAATGGATGGCCCTCCAGCAGTGTGTTTTCCTCCCAAACTTTATTTCAGGCTCTGAACACATCCTGATTAATATAGTAAAAGTGCCTTGGGAGCAAGAGGAAGCCCGGTGTTAGGAACCACCTACAGACCACCCACAAAGTATAAAGTTCACACTTGGATCATAAAGAGTCGACTGTACTGGAAACATAAAAATGGCTTTCCTGGACTCTCGGCAAGGAAGGTGGAAACACAGTGAATTGCAGTGATTCATGCTTTTGTTTTCTAGTGCTGAAAAATCATGGAGAAAAATCAGAGAAGGTGTGTGTGTGTGGGTGGTGGTGCTGATGATGCTGAAAGCCTAATTGAAAAACTGCAATAGAGACCAGAAGTAAAGTTAAAAGAGGACAGGAGGACCTCTCCAGCTGAAGAAGAGGCTGATGGCACTTGGTCATCCATCTTCAGGCACTGACCGCAGAGCATGAAGGTCCATTCAGACGGCTGGCTGTGACACCATCTCCTCCTTCCCATCCAACAAGAAGGAATGGGCTCAGGAAGCCAGTAGATGATGACTTTCTATGAAACCCATGAAAGGGCAGCAGCCTAAGGGGGCAGAAACACCTTTATAGCACTTGCAGAACAGGAAATTTAGGATTCTGTCTTGGGGCGGGCCTGGCTGGAAGCAGAGATTTCAATAGGATGGTTCCTGGAGAGTCCTGACTTCCTGATCCCTAGACACAACAGCTAGGAAGACCTGGCCTGCTATTGATAAACAGATGAGAGCACACATGTGATCACAATTCCCTATTCTCCCAAGAAAGGCAGCTTAGGGGAGTTATCTAAAAGCCACACGGAAGGCAAATGATACTAGGCTCAGAGAAGCAGTTTATGGTCAATCAACTCCTGTTCTCTACATAAGAGAGAGAAAACACAAACTGGTCTAAAAATGAGAGTTAACCATCACTTTACTGGCATTTCAGACATGAGAGAATTTCCCCATCAGTATCCCTGCCCAGAGCTAGAGGTGCTTAGACAAGACATGGAGACTCACACATCCACACACGGAGAAATCCTTCAATGGCTCTCTTTCACCAAGAGGTTTCCTTGAGGAGCTTTCACTGTGTGGCCTCCTTGGATTTCCACAGCCTCATGTACCTTCTACGGGTTCCAGAAGAGCTAACTTCTTTATTGCTCTCCATACTCGCCATGCCATTTCACACAGCCATGTCTTTGCCACTGACATGACCAGCGCCCAGAATGCCCTCCCTGCCTGGGCTGCTCGCTGAAATGCTACTCATCTCTCTTTTTTAAAGATTTTATTTATTTATTTGACAGAGAGAGAGAGACAGCGAGAGAGGGAACACAAGCAGGAGGAATGGGAGAGGGAGAAGCAGGCTTCCCGCCAAGCAGGGAGCCCGATGCGGGCCTCAATCCCAGGATCCTGGGATCATGACCTGAGCCGAAGGCAGACGCTTAATGACTGAGCCACCCAGGCGCCCCGAAATGCTACTCATCTCTTGATGGCCCTTCCCTGCCCCTCCTCTGGGCTACTCCTGTGCTTAATACACACATTTGTTATTTCCCTTGCCACATGTGGTGGAAATTACTTATTCACACATCTTTCTCACCTCCTGGATATGAGTTCCTTGAAGCCAGAGCTCTCTCTCTATCTTTGCATCCCTTCCACCTCCTAACACAAAGGTCAGCTTGCAGCCCATGTTCAACAAGACTTTGTTTGATTACAGTGACTTGCGGGCCTGTACTGCCCGTTTCCTGCCTTCCCACATGAGGTGGGGAACCAACAAAAGTGAACGCAAGTACATTTTTTTGACAAACGAAAAGGCTGCTATGTTAGGAAACCCATACACTGATTTCTAATCGAGCGCAAGATACTCTGGCATGGAATGTGGTAGCCTGTGGGCCTCTACTGGACCTCTTGTGCTGGAACTTACAGAGGACAGACTGCGGGGCCCTTGCAGTATACTGTCCTACCAATATCAGAGACCTGCAACATGGATTTTGAACACATTGTTACAGAGAGGACTCCCTGTGTACTGAATGAGAGATTCTTTTTATTCCATAGCATAGTTCACAGAGCAAATGTCCTAAATTCTAGAATAAATGAACAATGGCCGGAATGAAAAAATAAATGTATCCACCCTCCTGTGCTTTCATTATTCAAGCTATTCTACTGCCTACTTAAAAAGGGGGCAACTTGCATGTCCTTTTCTTATTCACACCCTACCAGTCTCTCTGTGCCTGTTCAAGTCTTACCCCAATCTCTAATTGCCGTGTGGCACCTAAGAGTTTGTACCACATCTGACACAGGGCTGGGCACGTGGCAGGTATTAATAAAAACAAGCTGGCTGGTGGACCGATAAAAAGCCGTATTACATGCCCCCCAGCCATACAGCAGTTTCAGAAAAATTGTCAAGAAAATATTTTTCTTTCTTTACCACAACCCGAAGTTCTAAAAAGATAAATACTCCAATAAGTTTAGAAAACGCATGCCAATGACTTTTAAAACTCCCACAACTAGAAACAGCCATTCTCCAATGTATTCTTAACCCCTGATAACTCCTTGCTCATGTGGGGTTTTAACATACCTCTCGGCCAGCCAGAGTTTGGCCCTGGTACAAACAGCAATGTCAGCCAGCAGCTGTTGAAAGTATGCATTCAGTCTGTATTTGGAGTCTGTGCAGGCTTCTAACAAATGAAAAACCTAAACCAGAAAAGAGAAAAAAGCAATATCCTGCTGTGAAAATATATTTTTCCTCAATGTTCAGTTCCTCCCTGTTAGGTTTCCTCAAAATATTCCCCTCAAAGAAAACAGACACCTGTAGAATGTGGCTCTGGTCTCCATGCAGGAAGCAAGCTGGTTTTGGGAGGACACAGCAAGGGACAAGAAACCTGTGCCCTTAATTCCTACCTCTGCTCTGGGTTCCCTGCGCAATTCCAAACAAGGGTGACTGACTACTCAGTGACCGAACACTCATTTGATATAAGAGCTTATTCGTTACAACAGCCTAGAAAATGATTTTAGCAAAGAAAGGCAAACATCTTGCTCTAGGTGAGCAGTCTCATATGAAAAAAAAATGTACCTTTTCAAGTCAAAGTTTTACTGCAGAGGAAAAATCAGCAGTCTCAGAGTCCAAATTGGTTTGTGTGTTGGGTTTATCAGAACCATCTTGGCCAAAGCAGTAGGCCACGATGATGCCTACCTTTGCAAACACGGGACAGTGATGTTTGTAAACGATCTCGATTTTCTTTCGCAGTTCCCCACTGAGACATGCGGAAGCAGCAAAACGGACACAACCTATTCTCACGCTGACATGACATGATGTATGAGAATTGAGCAGAGAAAGACAAATCCTCTAGTTGCCTCTATTTAGAATGAAGGCCACAGATCCAGCAGACACACGACCGTGCATGCGCGCACACGCGTGTGTGCGGCTCATGCAAGCATGTCGTGGATTCACACTCTGTGATGACACCAACAACACTCCGTGAGGAGTATAAACCTGCAGCGGAGAGAGAGGACTAAGGCACAGATGAGATCCTCTGACCTTAGCCGGCGCCAAGGAGTACGAGGACGCATGGCAGAGAGCTCCTGCAGTCTCCTCATCTCAATCAAGCGGAGACGGTGGGCGGAGCAAAGCTAGTACGCATAAACACACCGAGAACTTGGAAAGTCCATTTTAATAATCAGTTTGGTTCCCTCCCCTACTGTATCCTTCGCCAGAGCTACAGGTGACTCTTTCAAAGCGACAAGATTCAACTTTTTCCTCTCTTCCTCTCCTGCCGATGAGGAGCCTAAGTGAGAGTTAAATAGGGAAGTGAATAAGTACAAAAAGCAGGAGGCCAAGATAAAAGAGATCCAGAATCATCAGAGCCTGAACGGGAATGAGCTAGCAGTTTTCCTGGGTCAGACATCTGCAGTTACCAACAACAAATATACCCGGAGCACCTCTGTTTAGAGAATTAAAAAAAAAAAATTGTGATTATTATATGTAACTGTTATTATTATTTATTTAATTTTTTTGGGGGGGTCTAAATAGACGTAATTGTATAGGAGACTGCACACAAGTCCCGATGTGGAGATTGAAAATGCTTTCTCTAATAATGGATCTGTTATTTCAGAGGCAACAGATCAAGTATCACTACTTCACCACACCCCCGCAGGGACCCACACCGCAGGTCGTGAAGTCTGGAGGAATGGGTCTGGCTGGGGCTTCTGTTCTTATGTGGTGACTGCCAGAGCGAAAAAACACACCTCCCTCTGCTTGAATCCCCACTACCTTGAAAGAGTTGTCAAAGTCACTGGGTCTTGCTTTACTTCTCTCCACAGCTGCAAAAAACCAACCACCAGGGCTTTTCATGGTGTCACAGGATCGTAATTAATCAGCAGACACCAGCAAAATACATGAGCGTGGAATTTACTTGTAAAGAAAGCTGTGAGATTTTCAAATGCCTCTCATTTAGAAGCAATCACCTCAAAAATAACTCCTGATGGATGTTTAAACTTAGTCCTATATTTGCTCACCTTACTTGGCAAAAACAAGGCTGTTTTTGAAACGCTTGGTAGCTCTGGTTTATGAAAATCAACCTCCAGGTCCACCAATTCTGTAACCTTGGGCACAACCCAGACAACAATTGTGATCCTGGTTATTCACCAGGAACAGAGAGCGATCTATTTACATGGGACAGCTGCAGAGGGAGGTACACTTATGAGAACCACAGTGGAAAGGAACATGGAGGTGAGACAGAGCGAGAGAAGTGAAAGACAGGGTCACAGAAGTCAAGGGAAAACCGGGCAGGGAAGGGGAGGAAGAGGAAAAGACGGGGGTGGGGGGGAGGAAAGAAAAGTTTTGTAAGCCCATGTCTGAAACAAGTGACTGTGTTTGAGATCATTTCTTTTTTGAGAAAATTAATGACTATATTTGAATACACGGCTACCTTCCCATGACATTTAGAGGGTCTGTTTTAATTTGTCCAAGAAAAATGAGGCCATCCTTTGGTGTGAAGTCCAGAGGTGGGGCCAGGCCTCTGGAACTACAATCCAAGGTCAGGTCCAGGAGCACCAGGCAGCCAGCTTCCAGGAAGGGTCATTTGTCCATCAGCTCGGAAAGGACGGCGGGGACAAGGCAGTTCCTCCTCCTTTCCCCCTTCTCTGAAAGTTCTGGTCCAGGAGAACCTCTGGGCTAGGAGTGTGGTCTAGGCCAGCCTGGGATAATTTGCAAACAGCCTGTAATACAGGACTGCACGAACCAAACAGAGAAACTGAAGCTGCGCGACCAACGGAATGCATGGGAGAGCTCCAAGAAGTGAAGTGTTACTTTAGGTCTCCCAGATTTGCAATAGGATTCCAATATTCAGTCCACAAATACTTACTAAACAAGAATTACTACCAGGCGCTGTCCCAGGAGCTGTGGCACAGAACACAGGAGTGCCTGCTCCCCGCAGCTTACACTCTAGTCACGAATAAGCAGAAAATCCACAGCTTCCCTGCCCCTGCCTGGTCTCGATTTAGAACCTGCATGGCGGCATCACCATCACTGTCCTCTTATGCTTGACCTCACCCTTGACCAAGCCCAGCACACAGCCGGAATGCAACGAGCATGTGCTGAATTGATTTCGCTTTGTGGTGCCTCTTCCTATACTGACTCTGCCTGTAGGACACATGCCCTTGGGTTTGGGGAGCTCCCGCAACCCCAGGTAAGGAGTGGGGACACAGCTGAACAGCACCGCACTCCTCTCTGCAGCAGGGAGAGGCCAGGTCAGTGGCGGGGATGCAGCCCTGGGGGAGGAGCACACGCTTGGGAGCCAGGTGCATATGGGTGTAAACCCAGTTACTAGCTATGGAGCTTGGGGCAACTTATTTAACCTCTGCTTCCTCACGGTAAACAGTACATAACAGTCTCTGGCTTATAGGACCATAGAGAGATTTAAAGGAATATATACTTGGCACCCACTAGGCACCTGATAAAAATGTTAGTTCTCTTCCTTTTTCTGTCCGCCCCCTCCCTTTAGCCCCCATTCCAAAAATAAACATTCAGAGAAGGCTTTGCAGAAAAAAGTAATATTCCTATTTAACCCTTAAACAAATCTGGTCAGAATCTGGGGAAGACCATGCAAGCAGAGAAGAAACTGAATTATAAAAAAATGTTAAAGGGTATTAAAATAACAGTATTGCCAACAAAAAGAATAAACCTTAATGTAAACTATGGACTTTAGTTAATAATGATGTGTCAATACTGGTTCATTAATTGTAACAAGCATACCACTCTAACGCAAGATACTAATAACAGGAGAAAACCGGGGAAGAAAGGAATATATGGGAACTCTCTGTACTACCTGCGCAGTTTTTCTGTGAATCTGTGATTGTTCTTAAAAAATCCTATGAATGGAAAGAAAATACGAGGACTGCTCAGGGGACAGCAAGTAGCTGTGTGCAGAGAGAGCACAGCCAGGGTGTGTGCAGGGTGGTAAGGGACACATAATCAGATCTGTAATGTGGAAAGGAAAGGCCAAGACAGTGTGGAGGCTGGATAAGAAGGGGCAGGATGACCAAGACTGCTATCAGTCTAGACTACAGGTGGTCAGGGTCAAAGCCAGAAGCTGAAAGCCAAGGATGGCGGTGGGCCCAAAGCGGCTGCAGATGTTTTCTTTGACCTGCACAGTATTTTTCAACCTGCCACTTACGAATTGGGAAATTTCACACCAAAATCATCCTGATTTCCAACTTCTTTTGAAAAATCAGAAGACCTGGGGACCGCGGGCCCACACTCCTATGGGGCAACAGGCACCTGCGGGGGTGGGTTCACCATGGGACTAAGGTGGAGTGTCAGCGTCATTTATCACTGCTTTCTTGCCCTTTTTTTTTTTTTTTAACTTTTGGAGAATCAAGAGGAAAATGAAGTATTTACTGAACCCAAATCTCTATCAAATTTTAGAAACAAAGGATTGGATCAAGAGGGAGGGCTGTGTGTTTCTAACAGTTCCCCTTTATTCACTCATCTGCCCGTGCTGGTAGAATTTTGATTTTGTGACAGCCCCAATCTAGATGGTAAAAGGAGTGGAATGGAGAGGAAAAGGATACACTTGAGAGACATTTTAGAAGCTGAAGAAGCAGGATTTGGCAACGTGGCATTTAGACGTGGAGTTTAAAGTCAGAAAAGAGCCTTTTCACTCAGGCAGCTGGTGATGGAAAGCCATCGTCCAAGACAGGAACCACAGGGGAATATGCAGGTTTGGGAATGAGGGAAGGGGACCTCAGGAGTTTGGTTAGGAACATCCGCGTGATGATTGCTCTAGTCAGGGGTTATTTATCTTGCATAGCAAGAATTCTTTTGGGAGTGAAAAGGAGCTCTATGAATGACCACCATGGGATGAAGCAGGGCAGTGAGTTGCCTCTAGCTTCTGCAGGCCCTTAAGAGAAAGACTAGAGTGGACTCAGAGGTGTCTTTGGCAAAAAAAGCAGCAGAAAGCTTTGCTGACTTAAGACGGTTGTGACCCGGTCAGAAAGAAAGCAATGCCAACCGTCAAGTGCACACCAGCAGCACCGCCCGTGACTATCGCAGGCAATGGGACCGCTAGGAGATGCCCTCAGCAGGGGAGGCTGGGCAGCAGTGGGGAGTGGGTCAGCGTTCTTGCCCCTGAGATGCAAGCCCTGATGAATCTCCGGGAGGACCGAAGGAAAGTCTAGAGAACCTGGAAGCAGTT